ATTATTAGTGGGGTTCGACCCAGCATTTCTATGTTCCTGCCTTTCAATTTTGTTTTTTCTCTTTTTCTTTTTTCTTTTGTTCGTTTATTGCATGTATTATGTATAATCTTATTAAGAAATTTCTGCCAAAATTTTCTTATTAATAAAACAGATGACAGATGCAGACACTATCACTTTAAAAGAAATAAATCAATGGTTCTAACAATTTCAAAGCCATCAATAGTAGTGATAAAAATAAAATAAAAGTATAAAAATAGGCAAATTCATATAACAAATAAATAACTCGTGTTTGTATTTGTACCTGTATATATACACTAATATCTGAATAACTTATATGTGTTTGTATTTGTAGGTTTATAAAAGATGAGAGTTGGCCATCGAGTGAGATGCTTATCACACGCACCGATGAATTATATTAATTCTTCTAGGAAAAGGGTTTGTGGTGAAAGGGTTGGGTTGCAGGTGAGGACAAACGAGGTGTTGAAGCTACACTCTTCACTCATGCCAAATGGGAAGGGAACCATGACATTATCGTGGGTTATCATACATATACACATGTTAGACTTTGCTTGTATCGCAACAGAGAGACTCAATAATTTTTTTGGCAATTTGCCTTTGCCTTGGCTTCACTTTTAGCCACTGCTGCAAAAGGTAGCACTTTGCTTTGTATGAACACTGACTTCCACATACTTCTTCCTGCTTTTCTCCAAACATCCTTCCATCTCACCACCCAACACTTTCACCAGACCTTATCAGCCCCTTCTCAGCTTTGAACGATTCACCACTTCCGTTTATTTCATAATTTCACTCCTTTACACTACACCAAACTTAGTTTTTTGTAGCAATTAATTTATTATTTAGCGGCCATATAAATGGTCATTATTTTTTTACCAGCATTTAAATAATGGCTGATGTATCCAGTATCGCTAATACTATTACCAAATTCGAGTACTGCATGATTATAAAGACTGCTTTGCATGGGATTATGATGAAATGCCGGGATTAGATCGAGGATTGGTGGAACATAGGTTGCCCATATTCCCGGAAAGAAGCCTGTCAAGCCAAGCCCTCGAAGGTGCCATGCCAATAGCTTGGGTTAGGGTCTGAGGTTTTAAAATCTTGAGTTCTCGTTCAATAGGTGGGCTTAAACCAGACAAAAAACAATTCAACAAATTATCATGGGACAACCCTACCATTTTGTTGCACAATTTTTCAAAATTAGCTTGGTAATCCGCCACTAAGCCAGCTTGTTTGAGTTTAAACAAGGAACCTTGATGGTTTTCATATGTGGAGGGGCTGAATCGCAATTCCAAAGCTCAACTAAAAAAAGTCCAGTCACCTAGTTGATTCAAAGAGTACATCCATTTGAACCAACTCAAGGCGTCACCTTTCATATAAAATGCCACCATGGGCACCCGTTGCTCCCAGGGCACTTGATAAAATAGGAAGAATTGCTCAGCCTGAAAAATCCAATCTAGAGGCTCAGAGTCGTCAAACACAACAAGTTGTAATTTGGGTGGTCTAACAGGGGCAGGATATTGTAAAAGGGTTAGGCACATGATTGGTGTAAGGAATGGAATTGTGGAATGTGAGGGTTAGGAGGTGGTGGATTGTATGAGGTATGAAAAGGGGAATTTACGAAACTCATTGTAAGGATAGGTGGGGCCATACAAAATGGGGGAAAATTGGGCGATCATCATGTATCTGATTCTGTTGGATCAATTGCAATTGTAATTCTGCAATCTGGGAAGTGAGGGTGGCGATTGCCTCATCCGAGGGTCGGTTGGAGTTTGAATCCCAATCAGGTTTAGGAGGCATGGTCAATGAACGCACCAAATTGATAGGAACTACCATAAGAATTAGGGCTACCAGAACAAAACTAAGAAAGATTTAATTCAAAATTTCATCATAATTCCCAACCAGAGATGTCCAGGTATTAAATACCCCTTACAATGGTCTAAAGAGACCTTTGACGAAAAGGTAAACATTATGGGCTAAAAAACTTAAAAAAACAAAACTATTCCAGTTTGTAATCTTTGGTCCAATACGGTGGAAACTTGGGCCTACGTGAACTGGTCCTATCACAATGACTAATAATAAAAATAATTTAATTTAGATACATGATTAATATAAACTATTTTATTTTATATAAACATCTTCTAAGGATTAGACCATTTTATTATATTTATTTATTAATATGATGTTACAATAAAGTTATATATATATATATATATATTTTTTTTTTTTTTTACTCTGATAATGTATATAGATAAAATTTATAAAAGTATTTCATAAATAAATATACAAATGTTGATCAATATCGTGAAAGTATTGATTTTTTATTTATCTTTTCGATGTATCTTTGATATATTTATTTGGTCAAAGACTAAATTTATTAAAATAAAAGAACAAAAATATCTTATAAGTATTTATTGGTTAAAGAAAAAGAAAAAGAAACAGAATTATAAACATGTATATCAATGTATTTTTATTGTAATTTTTATATAAAAAAAGTTTATTTACACTGCTAGAAAATGGTTTTTGTTAAGTTGACTGAAATGGTTTTTTAAGAATAAAAAAAGGTTACATATTTATTAGTAGCTTTAATGTAAGATGTTAATGTAAGAAGCTAATGTATTTGGCAAATGAGACTTTTATTAACAATCAAATAAATAAATGTTGATGCAGGAGTTATCTTTGATTATTAGTGGTTATCTATAACAATAGATAAAGAAAATATATGGGTTTGGTTTTCACAATTTTTTTAGATATTTATATCATTTTTTAGTTACATACTACTTCATTTGTATGATTATTTTATACATGAATGGAAAATAAAAATGTTTTGTTCAAAACCACACCACTCTCACTAGAATCTCTCTTTTGTTGAAACCACTCCTCTCACATTTATAAAATGTAACTACATATTTTAACTACACAATCTCTTTTACTTTTCTCTTCGAGTACCTACCAAAACACAATGGAACCAATGACAACAAATAGAAGTTGCATAGGCAGAGGAACGAAATTAAGACTTTTTAGTCCTGTGAAAGTTGCTTTTCTTTATTCTCTCAATTTTTTGTCGTTATTTTAAGTTTTTTCTTCCTTTCTTGACATAAGTGATTGCATTTTTATTATTATAAAGTAGAATTTGAAATACTGTCGACATGTTTTGTTTTTGTTGTGTTTGTGTGTGTGATTTTTTTAATTTTGCATTTTTGGCTTCATATGCCTCATTTGATCTTTAAATTTAGTGGGTTTTGCTTGAGATTTTGCAGGAGTGTAGATTTTGACCAAATTTTTTATAATTTTTATATTGTTTTTTTTTATCAATGGTTGTTTTTCTTACTTAATTGTGATTTCCAATTATTATATTTATCATCTATTTCTATATACTATAAGTTTTTTAGTTTTTATGCTTATAAATATTATTATGCATTATCATGGAAGCCCATAAACAGTAAAAGTAAAAGATGGAACTTTAAGAATTTTGTTTTACATACAAGGGTTCTCCACATTGAGGTGAATTAGTCTAAATTGGCCATATTTTATATTTCTGTTTTAGTTGTTTGAACATTTATTTTTTCCTTATTTTAACACAACAATATTAGTAGATTATTTTTCTAAAACTTGCATACATGTTTACAATTACAATTATTTATAGTGTAATATTTCTAATATATTTTTAACATTATCAAAAGTCGATACTTGATTTTGGTGTACACATTTTATTTTTCCTTTATTTCACTCTCTTTGCTATAGGAAGAATACATTATTTATTAAGTATTTTTTTAAAATAAAAAATGGGTAAACAGAAATTAACATAAATCATAAATTCTGAGGAGGTGAAACAAAACATGAAACCAACAATTAAGAGCACAAATGCATCACTTTTAACATTCTTATAGCTACCACATTACTATTTTCAATTTTGGTTTCACTTTTTTAAATCATTTTACCCCAACTTAACCTTCTCTAATAAAAAATAAAGGAATATAAGGAAAAAATTGTTACGTTCATTTCTTACTCTATAATTTTCACACTTTATGTAGAAGCACCAACCATCATTTTCTCCTTTGATTTCCTTTTTTTTATTTATCTTTATTTTCTTTGATGGTTGACATATAATAGGTTTTACTTGAATGGAAGCAGGTAGCAACCCTCAGGAGGCCAGAACAAATATTTGTCTTTTAATTTTTTTTTTTTGGTGTCAAAAATGCGAAAAGATAAGAACAAAAAGAAGATTCAAAATTAATCTCGCATTGAAATTCCAATTCTTTCTGATATTATTTTCTTTACCTTTAAATTTTTCTAAATATTTATTGTTTAATTTTATCTTTGTGCAAATTCAAATTTAACTCACAAAGACGAATCAACATTCTTTTATTAAGTAGGTGAGCAGTTCTTTCATATATAACATATACAATCAACAATCATATATTTAATTGTGTTTTAGTCATGAGCATTTCTTTTATTTTAATCTTTTTTTCTCTTAGTTTGAGTGTTGGACATAGATATGTGTTGGAGATTTAGTTAATGTGTATGGTTAATAGAAAATGCTCCCTCAAAAGATATGTCAAACTACTTCCCATTTATTGCCTTTTATCCATGTACATTTTGGTGTGCTTTTCAATTTTGGATTCTTCCATTTGATTTCTACTTAACTATGAAGAGTTAATATTTTTAATTTCTTCTAAACATTTTGATTGTTATAGTTGTTTTAAAAGTATAAAATTCGGTGAAACACTTTAAATCCTTTTGACATTACATGTTTATTGCTAAGTTTGGTTGAATGATCAATACAAGAGTAAAGTCCTTTTGAAATTACATTTTTATTGCTAAGTTAAAATTAAAAAAAAAATATAATAGTTTGATCATTTATTTAAAATTGATTAATAGTGGTTATTTCATTTATTTATTATTTCTTAATAATTAAGTTTGTAATTGTCTACAAATTGTGAAAACGAAAAATCCTACATAAATTAATTAACTAGTAATGATAAAAGGTACCTCTCATAGCACACAAAATTTCATCACAATTACAATGTCATATTATGGTACAATGCAACAGGGGAATATAAAACACACTACATAATCATTATAATTAGCATCTAGTCTTAAATAACAACAAACTTGTGAATTATGATAACATTACAATTCATTAATATCAACAAATCATCTCCCATTTAAGGATAAGGAAATCCGACTTAAACTATCAGATCCAGATTGCAAACTTCTTTTGTCAGCACCATCAACCACACTGAAAGAATATGATGGTGTTGCTTTGAGAAGATTTTCGGTCTCCTCCAAAGACAAGTTGACTTTTTCCCATCGGTGCTTTTCCACAATGCTTATTGCCTCAAGTTCTGTCGCAACTTCTTTCATGGTGGGCCTTTCCTCCCCTTTCAACCTTAAACAATGTTTTGCAATATTGGCAACATCCATTAGTTGCTCAACATTTGCCTCATCTATTATTTGGCTATCAATAATGTTTAGCAATCCACCCTCATTGATTGAAGAATGGAAGTGCATCGCAAGGTTTCTATGAGTCTCTGGCCTATCAAAAGATAGTGCTTTCTTACCTGTTAGTAGTTCAACTAGAACTACTCCGAAACTATATACATCACTTTTCTCTGTTAATTGACTTGTATGGAAGTATTCTGGGTCAAGATAACCCAGTGTTCCCTGCACCAATGTGGTAAGTTGAGTTTGATCTAGAGGAATAATCCTTGAAGCTCCAAAATCAGCAACTTTTGCAGTGAGATTGTGATCAAGTAAAATGTTTGTAGTTTTCACATCTCTATGTATGATTGGTGTAGTGGTAGCAGAATGCAAGTATGCTAGGGCCCCAGCACTTCCTGTTGCTATTTGCAATCGTGTTTTCCATGTAAGTCTTAAAGATTGGCTTTGATCGTGAAGATGCTCATAAACAGTACTGTTGGGGATGAATTCATAAACGAGCAAGGGAACTTCAGTCTCTAAACAACATCCCAAGAGCTTCACCACATTCCTATGGTTGATTCGAGAAAGCAAGATCACCTCATTGATGAAATGCTCAATTTGGTTTGTATTGCTAATTTTGGACATTTTTATTGCAATTCTGTTGTCAGGTAATATCCCTTTGTAAACTGTTCCTTGGCCACCTTGGCCTAGGATTGTGCCTTCATCAAAATTGTTGGTGGCCTCCTTTAGTTCCTCCATGGTAAAGATTTTAGTCATCTCATTTGACCCACTATACCTAGCTACTTCTTGTTGCAAGAATAGGCCACCATTTTGCTGAAAAAAATGTTCTTTAAGTTTCATGAGCTTTCTTTTCTTTGATGTCCAATACACATAAAAGGTTCCCCCGATAAATGTTAAGATGCTCACACTCACACCTAGACATAAACAAGTGGAAACAGAATTATTTTCTGTATTTTATTGATGTATGCGTTGACTTTAGGTAATTGTTTGGTCTCATGATCAAAATCAAAAATGCCTGACAAGCTTAATTTAAAAGACATATGTTCTAAAGCAACTTGAATCATAGGAAAATCACCTTGAAGATATGAATTTAAATTCAAGAAGCAATTCATTCTTGTTCTTTACAAAGGGGATTTCTTTCAACAGTATTTATCTATATCATTATAGTAAAGATGATTTTCAAGATTATATTTATATGTCATGAATGAGTCAAGAATAGATATTTTTTGTAATTTTAGTAGATGGATAATAATATACTCACTCAAAGCAATTATGATTATATTGTCTTTGCCTTTGCGAGTGCATTTTGTTCCACTTTTTCTGCCATCTCCTTTATGTCCATCTGGACAGTGACAGGTGTAGTTCCCAGGAGGAAAGTTTTCGCATCTAGCCCCCTCAAAACATTCGTGGGATGATTCCTTGCATTCGTCAATGTCTAAAAGATAACTAGATAGTTATAATTTGCATTTTGACTATGAACACGGAGCTTTAAAGAAATAAAGTAGGAGCAGAAACGTTTATAATTTGTTACTAATGTTTTACACTTGATGACAATGAATTATACAAATGAAAAAGTTATTGAAAGAAGAAATAAACAGTATTTGAAAGCCACACAATAAAAATAAAAATAGTTTTGTTCTTGTTAATAAACATGAGTGTACCTGTGCAACCATGAAGGAGGTAAGGGTTCCCCCTCCAACCAGCAGAGCAATTACAATTATAACCGGGTCCTGCCTCTGCAGGGTGACCTTGACTATGTTCTGACTTGCACGCACTGTGATCTTGCCACGTGTCTGTCTGGTTCCCCACTGCCCAATCCAGAACTACAGGAAATGTGTTTTTGTCAAGGCCTTTGGTGGTGGTGAACTGGTAGGCTCCATCCTTAACCAGAAATGCATAACCGCATGAGTAATTGTTAATCTGTGGATTGCTGTAGTTGCTATTGAAGATATTTACAGTAGAATAATAGAGGAAACTCGATAGGCTTTGTTGTATCGGAGTGTCGCAACAGTGAGTGCCAGTGCATGACTCGTTAGATGCTAGCTCCCCATCAACATAGAAAGAGAGCGACACACATGCAGCGGTAGCATTTAACATGTCACTTGTAATATTTTCATATATTATACCAGCGGCGTCAGCACCCACCACAGTTAACTTGTTTTGCTTGGGTGATAGGTGAAAGGGTGCGAGGTCGAACTCATACAAACTCCTTCCATTCACTGATTCGTTGTTGGTATGTTTGGTGCAACGTGTGGCTACTGGCAACGAAATGTTGAGTTTGCCGTCAAGTGAGATGTCTAACACACGCACTTTTTGACCAAAACTATCCTTCAAGTATGGGATGGGTGCGGGGAGTTTTTTGTTGCAAGTGATGAGAAATGAGGAGTTGAAGAAGCTCGAATAAAAATCTTCATCCTTCATTCCTCAATTGGAGCCGAATCTTTTTCGGCTCGAATCACAAAACCTTTTTTCATATCCCAGCAGAATAGCTGCAATATAAATTTGGTTATATCCAGCAATAAACTCATAATTTCATTACCTGCAGCAGCGTCTATCATAGTTTTAGCGATGGGCATAGGATACTCATCTTTAGATCTCGAAAATCAATGCACACCCTGAGTTTTCCATTCTTCTTTATAACAGGCACGACATTCGATATCCACTCAGCATATCTTGAAGTTCTAATGAACTTTGCTTTTAGTAATCTCTCAATTTCTTCCTTGATCTTTTCAATTACTTCAGGGGCGAACCTTCGAGGGCTTGGCTTGACAGGCTTCTTTCCGGGAATATGGGCAACCTATGTTCCACCAATCCTCGATCTAATCCCGGCATTTCATCATAATCCCATGCAAAGCAGTCTTTATAATCATGCAGTACTCGAATTAATTCCTCCTTTAATTCCCTTTGCAAGAACTTGCTAATATAAGTTACCTTTCTATTTTCGACAGTTCCCAAATTAATTTCCTCGAGTGGATCCTGAGATTCTAATTTATGTTGTTTCTTGGCTGCTCTTTCGAATCCCAACGGCGAATCATCGAAAATACAATCTAACTTTAACTCTGACTCTTGCTCGTTTTCCTCTTTTACATTTTCGACCTCCTGGTCCATTTTAACTTCTGTTTTTTCATTTTCTTTTCCTTCTGAGACCTCTTGGTCCCTTTGATTTTTCTTTGTTTTTCTTTTTTCTTCGTTCTTTTCGACCTCGAAGTCCATGCCCTCTTTCTTCGTTTTTTGTTTTTCTTCGTTCTTTTCGACCTCGAAGTCTATGCCCTCTTTCTTTGTTTTTTGTTTTTCTTCGGCCAAAATGGCTGTGATATTTTTATCAATCTCAACTTCACTTGACATCACTCCCTTATGTTGACCTTCCTCGGCCATGTTGGCTGTTCGATCAGCCATGTTGGCCGTTCGATCGGCCATGTAGGCCGATACTCGAGCTAAGAAGCTCGAATAAAAATCTTCATCCTTCATTCCTCAATTGGAGCCGAATCTTTTTCGGCTCGAATCACAAAACCTTTTTTCATATCCCAGCAGAAAATCTTCTTAACTCCTTCTTCTTCGTCCATAACTCCAGCATTGTAGGCATCAAAAGGCTTGGTTTTTGCAAATGCAGTTAATTGTTGATCAGCAAAATACATGCCTACCTCATATGCCTTTTGATCTGCCTCGAGAACTTCCAATCCTTCGTCATCATTCCAAAAAAAAATATTTTGGTGTACTGTCGAAGGGACAGCTCCTACCTCGTGAATCCATTCTCGCCTTAACAAGATGTTAAAATTTGTCTTCGATGGAGTTACTATAAACATAGTAGTTCTCTTCACGCTTCCGATCTGAACATCAAGCAGAATCATACCTTCAGGGTGTGAAGACTTCCTTGGATAATCTGAGATCAATATATTATGGGGCTTTAAGTCAGCCATGGATTCCCAAACCTCTTCAGCATTGTCCTAGGCAAGATATTCACAGCTGCACCTCCGTCAACCAACACCTTATTCACCTCGTGTCCTTCGATCATCAAAGTTAACAATAAAGGTTTAAGGTGACCTTTCATCTCTTTGGTGGGGGAATCGAAGACAGCTGAATTAAATTTGGGGATAACCCTCGAGATTTGATTAACCCACACGATCTTGGACTCATAATTAGGATCATCGAAGAAGTCTTCTCGATGAATATCCTCTTGTTCGTTTACAGATTCCATGGCTCCAGCGTACTCAGAAGGAAGAATTGATACTATCCCACAGATGTCTTCCAAGGAATCATCGAAACTGCTCACGAAACAATTAGTTATCAGATCTTCGTCATCTTCCATGAATTTTCGAGAGGATTCCCCCTTTTGAGGTATAGGAATCGAAAAACGATTCCCTCTGAACCCTTCAAATGTAGCTTTTCGCATCCTTTGCTGTCTCCTCCACTAAGTTTTGGTTAAGTTATTAAAGGGCTGTCGAAAATCGCGCCCATAACTTCCAGTCGAGAATCTACCAGGACCTATAGATATATTTGAGAACTTTCCAGGAGTGCCTTGCACTGGATGTCCAGCATAATTCATCACTTGCTTGCCTCGACCCATTCCACCAACCATCGATCTTGGTGGGGCATTCTATTTTCCTACAGGAATGTTTGCATTCGGCACAAAAGTGTTACCGAATTTAGATGAATTATACATTTCCATCTTACCCATCGGAGCATTATACTGAGGCATGTGAACCTGCCTCATGGTTAACCCAGCATTCGATCCAGCATTAAGCTTGGGCTTTTCTCGAAGCTTCTCGGCTTTGTAGCTCCTCATCATTTTTGACTCCTCGAAAGCCTTAGCAGCAGCTCTATCGAAGACAGCACTGCATCGAGGACACAGCATAACCTCCCTATCAGCCTCTTTCTTCTTTGACAGAAACTCAACCAAACTATCTCCCTCTTCGAGTTTCTCATCTAAAATAGGCTCAATGTTTTCATCATCCTCGATATTAACTTCAACCATGTTGACAGCCATCGAGACTGGTTCCACATAACCAGTGTGAGCAGCAAATTGATCAGTGTCCACTTTCATGTCCTTTTCCTTGAAAGCAAGGCGACGATCAGTAATCGCTTTTTCGATCATATCCCTGAAACGCACAATTATTAGTCCAATTGCCATACATATTATGATATTTACAAAATTTCTTCCCTTTTCTTTGTTCGAATGGCAGAATTTTATGGTTTTCTGGGAGTACAATTTGTTTATCTTTTAATAAAATCAAATATTTTATCTGCCTTCGTCACATCAAAACTGTATCTCCTAGTCGAGCTCCCTTCTATATTGTCCCCTGGTTTTAACATTTGACATTGATAAGTAGGTCCAGGGCGCAACTCTGCTAAGTTAACCTCAAAATCCTCACTCAAAATATCATAATTAGTATCCTCACTCATCTCGGCATTTTCTGAATAGGCTACCTTTTCTTTCCGAACAAACCTATCAAACTTTCTTAACCTTTCCTTTTCTAATTTAATTTGTTCGATCCTTCTTACCTTTTCTGCCAACTGGGCCATATCTCTCAACTGTTCATTTACCAATTTTTTACGTATTAAGAAATCTAACCCTGTTGCTGCAATCTTAACTAATTCATGCTCAGGTATATTAGTATAACATCGAGATTTTAATTGCCTGAACCTATTTAAATAGTCATCTAACGTTTCATGGCTTTGTCTCTTAACATTCATTAGATCGACTATACTAACTTTCGTTTCCTCTCTGAAGAAATGTTCATGAAAACTACCTTCCGATTGAACCCAAGTGTTTATCGAATTAGGAGGTAAAGTTGTGAACCATGTGAAAGCGTGCTTAGTTAGCAAACTCGGGAAATACTTCATTTTTAAATACTCATTGTTTGCTAGATCCCCACATTCGACTAAATACCTAGCTATATGTTCTACCGTAGACTCATTCAATGCTCCCGCAAATTTCAAAAAATTTGGTACCTTTGTTCCCCTAGGTAGTTCTATTTGAGTTACGTGATCTGGGAAGGCTGACACAAAATAAGGGTGCTCATTTCGACCTATATCGAAATCATGTCTGTTTAGTACCCTTTCTACAATTTGCTCTAGGTTGTCTCCAGTGTTCCTATGAGGTCGACCTACATTTTGCGGAAACCCTACATTTCCTCCTAGATTTTCCATATCGTTCAAATTCGCACTCATAACTCTCGATGGTGGAACATCTCCTAATCTGTCTCCTATTTTGTTTATCAATTCATACAAAGGAGTCATTATATTATGCATTTTGATTGACAACAAATTGACCATGTCATGATTACTATGGTCCATCTGCTGTCAAAGAGCCATCATGGCTTGATTACTAATCCCTGTGGGGATATAATTACTCTGTCGAACCAGAGACCCTTCGTGACTAGTGCCTACGTGTTGATAGGGGTCTTGCATCATGAAACCCAAACCATTTGGACCGGGGTTATAACCTTGTGGGGATAGATGCATTTGGGAATTTGGTCCTATATAGGGTATTGGCATTTCGACCAGTTTCTTTCGAGTGATCCGCAAGAAAATCTGCAATTACTTGTCCCTTAGTTGCTTTTAACGGCTCGAAGGTTAATGAATATTCAGTTAACACAAGTGCCCATTTGCCAACTCGAGAATGTAAAACAGGTTTACACAACATGTACTTGATCACATTACTTCGACAAAATATTACAACATCACAAGGCCTAATATAATATTTCACCTTTGTACAAGCAACATAATGACTTAAACATAATTTCTCTAAAGGAGTATATCTAGTTTCTGCTCCTACTAACATTCGACTTAAATAATAAATGACTCTTTCGATGCCATTATCATCATCTTGCGCCAGCAATAGTCGAATCGCTAGCTGAAATGTACAACTTCAGTTGTTTTCCTTTAGAGAGTGGTGCAGGCACTGGAGGGTGAGCCAAATAATCTTTGATTTCCTCGAATTCCTTCTGGTGCTCTTCATTCCATTGAAATTCTTGCTCCTTTTTCAGACGTAAAAGAGGAGAAAACACTTTAGTTTTGCCAGAAAAGTTCGATATAAATCTTCTCAGAAAGTTTACTTTACCTAGGAGAGATTGAAGTTCTTTTTTGTTCGATGGAGGTTTAGTCTCCATGATGACTTTAGTCTTGTTTCTATCCACTTCGATCCCTTTCTGGTGTATGACAAATCCCAGAAATTCTCCCGCTGTAACACCAAAAGCACATTTTAGTGGATTCATTTTTAAACCATGTTTTCTCATTCTCTCGAAAGATAATTTTAAATGGCATAAGTGATCCTCCTTTTGTTTCGACCCAAAAATTATGTCGTTAATATAAACTTGTATAAACTTACCAATTAAATTATGGAATATTAAATTCATTGCCCTCTGATAAGTGGCACCTGCGTTTTTTAATCCAAATGGCATCATCACCCATTCATAGACGCC